CATTCATTCATTCATTCATTCATTCATTCATTCATTCATTCATTCATTCATTCATTCAATTTATATAGCCGCCCATCTCAGACCAGTGACTCTGGGTGGCTAACAACAATAAAAGGAGCCAACATTTAAAACAGTACAAAAAATTAAATATAAATGCAGCCAAAATTTCCTAGATTGAGGGGGTCAACTCATAGTCACTCATGCCCTAGTCGCCTCCTGGTTGGACTGCTGTAATATGCTCTACATGGGGCTGCCCTTGAAGAGTATCTGGAAACTTCAGCTGGTGCAGAATGCAGTGGAATGGGCAGTTATGTGTGTTTCCAGAAGAACACACGTTACACCTCTGCTCTGTGAGCTGCATTCGTTACCAGTCTGTTTCTGGGTCCAATTCAAGTTGCTGTTTTTGATCTTTAAAGCCCTACATGGCATGGGCCGGGTTATCTGAGGGATCCTCTTTCCCCCATTACATCTGCCCATCCCACAAGATCCAGTATAGAGGGCATGCTGCAGGTCCCATTGACTAGGGAGTTTCATTCGGGTCCGACGCCATCAGATATTGCTCCAAAGGCTCCAATCAGATAATGTAAAATGACTGTGGTGGAAAGAAGGGGGTTATGCATGCGGATTTCTTTTTCCATAAGTGTTCATTATTATTAATAACTTTTATTAGTATTAATTATTATTATTATTATTATTATTATTATTATTATTAATTTATTGGCCGCCCTTCTCTAATGAACTCTGGGTGGCACACAAAATTAAAAGAGACATAAAAACAACTGAAAATATTAAATCAACAGATAGCCTGGACTAACATGCTCTAGTGACAAAATCCACAAAACAAAACAAGGGCCATTAAACAAAATACAAACATCAACCCCACTAGTTCAAAGTGAACACAAGTTCACACTTGTCACACTTATTCAGATCTGGCTGAACTAATGGAGGTTGGGGACAGGTCTCACACAATCGGGGCCTATGGTGGCCTGATCTGGAATTCTAAGTTGCCTGTATGGAATTTCTCTGGTGAAGAGATGTGGTGAGACTGTTTCTGTCTCTTCTGTCTCTTCTTACTTCTCCCTATAAAAGGTGATACTGGTCTATGTTCTGAAGAGAAACCAGAGCAGTTCCCTCCGGATGGTAGATAATTAACATTATAATTGTGATTCTGCCTTTCCCATGTACTGATCTCACTGAAGGTTTCAAGACTATCTTTGAGGGAACCCTGGGTCACTTTGGAAATCCATAGAGATTTTGTTTTATTTTTGTTTTCTTGTTTCTTTTAATGTGCAGACCCGAGAGCAAACTTTTCTGGCAAACAGCTCATATATCTCAGTCTTCTTCGTTTTAGTTTACTTGATGAGGACAACATGGCTCTTCAGTGTTCCATTAGGGATGAGTCCCGGGTTCCTCTGCAACAAATGGTGATTTTGAGGCAAAAGTACAAGTTGTTAAGAAGCAGAAAAGTAGTGTGGGAAAGCATTCTCTGAAGAAAAAGAATTAGGAAATTAATTAGGTGGAGCATGAATAATTGCACTGAACATTTTAATCTCATTTTCAGCAAGGGAAAGAGCAGCAACAGGAAAGTAGCCATCACTCAACAGTACTTTATGCAAAGAATTCTATCTTGCCCACAGGTGAGTTCTTCAGCAAACAAGGAGTAACTAAGGGACATGAAGCCCTACAGCGTTGTTCTGACTTTGAGCCTCATCGCTGCCATCGTTGAAGTTCAGCGTAGGTTTTATATTAATCTATTTTATTCTTCCCTTCCTTTTTTGCTCCTCATCTTTCTTTCCTGATAAAGAACCAGAAGACTCTTAGGTAAATAGTCAGTTGCAAGCTTCTCCATTATCAGTGAAAAGACTATGTCCTTACCTGATAAGAAACTTGAGAAGAAGCTTTTTAAATAATTCAGAGAAACTCCACCTTAAATAACACACTATAAATGAAAGTGGGAAATTTCTCTTACAGTTTCCAATATTCTTATTTATCCCAGTCTAGTATTAAAGATACCCTACTGAAATCTGTGTAGTTCTTGCTTCCTTGATCTTGCCCAGCTGTGTGGGGTTTGACACTATGGTCACCATAATGAATGAACTTAGTAGGGATCTGCATGGGAATAATGTTCAGCCTTTTATACCATTAATATAGTATCCTTCTGGACCAACTACAAAGGCTGGAGCTCCTTCTTTAGTGGATAGTTTCAGGTGGTGGTTATATGGGAACAGAGATTGACCTAGGTAGTCATTCCTTTGTGGGTTACTGTAGGAATTGTCTCCTCCTCCCCCCCACCTTCAACATTTACATGAATCTACTTAGAATGTCATCCAGAGGTTCAGGGTACAGTACCATCAGTATGCTGATGATAGTCACGTGTACACAGTTGCCCTTGGAAATTGCTGGGATTGGATGGGACAAAACAAGATAAATCTGGGCCCAAACAAGACAGTGATGCTGTCTTCTGTGTTGACATGCTCTGCCAGCTCCAGTGTTGTCTCTTGACAGGGAACCTCTATCCCTTAAAAAGCAAGGTTGTAATTTGAAGGTCCTCCTAGATTTGTGACTACTAGTGGATGGGCAGGTAATACTATGTAATGGGTATGTAATACTATGAGAGAAAGACCTTGAGAAACAGGGTGAAGAGATGCTGCCTAGGAAATGGTCAGATAAGAGAGGGCACAGCCTGCAGCTGCATAATGGGCAGAGAAAGAGGCTCAGAAGGGACTCTCCCTAACTTCTCAGGCTGTAAAGGAGATTGTGGGAGATTTGTACTTTCAGACTTGCATGACTGATGTCAGCCTTCCCAGGTAGACCAGATAGGAAACATGACCATGAGCTAATTCTATTTTATTGTAAGGCTACATTAACAGAATCTTGCAAGTCTGAAAGAATATCTAGACAAACCACCTAAACTGATAAAAAAATTCTGCCTTTCTCAAAATGGTGCACCTGAAAAGGTGGGATATTTGTATTCCTTAATAATGCTGTCAGAAGGATCAGACACCTTCTTTTTCTCTTTCTGGGGTTCTTGCCAAGCCAGGAATTCAATAAAATATGCCAGACGATCAGTGGAAGTCAAAATATATTTATTCACCCAAAGTTGTCAAGTAGCTCTGCGTGGGCAGCCATAATAGAATGCCTCTCTATCTCCCTTTTTATATATATATTTTAGTTTAAAGATTTTGCCAATCATTATCAATGGAATGGAATGTATTAGCTTATTACAGACAAATGTTTCCTTATCTTAGAGTGAAAGCAGATGCTTCCTTATTTATAGTTAAACAAATGTTTCTTTATCTAGAGCTAAAACAGATATGTTTTTCTTAAGTGGGCATTTTATCTTTCCTATACATATATTTTTCTATACATAAGACATATATCTTCCTTTACATGAGTATGCTATGTGTTGTCCCTTTTGTTTTTAATGGAGAAGCCAGCTTTTCTATAAAATGGCATTAATTTAAACTTATTGTAAACATGTAAGGAAAATATTCCAACAGTGCTTAATTATACAAATAAATAAATAAATAACATTTTAAAAATCCTTATATTTATTCCCATCTCCTGTTGTTGCTATTTTTGCTCTAGTTGCTATCAACCCTACACAAGATACCAGTTCTATATGCTTAGGTATGTTCTCTTTCCCTTTCAGAGAGCCAGCTGATGAAAACCTTGAACTGTTCCAGTGACTATGAATCATATATGGAGTGCACCTGGTCTGAGTCTCGGGAGGCAAATGCCTTTGTCAAGATGCACCTTTTTCACAAAGAAATATATTCGTGAGTGGCTGAGCACTGATCCATTGCAGCGGAATTTGTCTGAGTGTATGAAAAAGAGAAGTTGGGGGCAAAGGAGGACTTCTAGATAGGGCATGTGAAAATAGTGGAATGCTAGAGAGACAGGAGACAGAAGCCCATGGAACAGAAGCAAGTCATATCTCTCATACTGAAGGGCCTGTTAGAACTGTGCTACCCACTGATTTTTCACATGTTCTGAATGTTCCAATGACATTCTTATTTCTAGGAAATAATCAATGCATTCAAGAAAATGATTAATAATAAATAATTAAACATTCTGTATTTGGGGGAAAAAACAAAAAATCAAATTTTAAGAGAAAGTACTATTTAAACATAAATTATATATATTTTAAAAGACATGTGCCCTTTCAGATAGGATCAAGAGGGAATAGATTTATGGGTGAATACTTAGAAAACTACCACTGTGCCAACTTGGTTTTCTGAAAGTTGTCTTCCCTTGAGAAAGAAGAAAGAACTCCCCTAGGAAGGGTTTTCTTAGTAGTTTTCCCGTAGGCTTTAACAGATGCATAGGAAGGCTAGAAGACTGCAGACTGCAAATGATAGGATTAAAAAAGGAAAGACAGGGCACTTATGCACTCACTAGGCCATGCTTTTCACATATTTTATTTCTGGAAACCTTTGCTGAAATTTTCTTCTCCCTGAACAAGAATTCTCAAAACAATTCCTTTTTCATCATACTGAATGGGAAAGATGGAAGAAGAAGCAGAGGAATTTTGGGCACAGAATTATGCAGAAGTGTCATCAGCCACAACTGCTGTAAATTGATTCATCTATTCTTGTTTAAGGGTTTTTCCTTATGGCTGAGATAAAGTGCCATCTACCAGTCCTCAGACAAATAGAAAACTAGAACAGTATAATTTTTTCTGCCCCCACCAGTGATCTCTATCCTGCCATAGCTATAATGTTGGCAAATGGTGCTGTTTTTTTAAAAAAATGTCATGCAACAAATTTCAAAACAAGGATTGTTGGATTTGCCCAGTTTAGTTTCCCTCCCTCTAAATGTCACCAGCTGCTGGGAAAATATCTGCGACTCAGTCTCCTTTACCTGGGATGGGGATGGGGGAGGAGGTGAGTTTTCCGAGAAGAATAGACAGCAGGGTTAGCCTTGTTAAAATTTGTTCTGGTTTTGAGCAAATGTTTTGCATGGTGCATTCAAAGGGAGTCCAGCTGATAGCTGATATGGTATTATTTCTGGACTAGCACTGCTAAATCCATATTCAAAAGCAGCCCAAACAACAGCTGATAGGCATGGTGAGAATTTTGCCATGAAGCAGCAGAGCTCCCTTGCTCCCATTTCACCACGTGGATTCCTCCAACATCACTGCTGGTAAGCTGTTGTTCAGGCTGATCCAGGTTTCTGAGGATGGGCTCAGAGATCTGGCAGATATGGAAGGAGAGCCTGTGTGAAACAGCTAGATTTTCCTGCTGCCCAAAGACAATGGCCTTGGAAGACACCGCCTATGGATTGGAGGGGAAAGGACATGCCCATCCCAGTAAAAAGTGGCCAATAGGTGCCTGGCTGATCCTATTCCCTGGGGTTACCTGGCTGTGCCATCAACAGCATGGTGAGGGAAGTGCTTCATAGTGTATCCACAGCAGACTCAGTGTTGGGGTAAGAGAGAGAACTGTGAGGGAACGTATCTACAAGGAGGAGACTGATGTGGGAGATCAAGGCTATCAGGAAGGAGGAGGTGCATTCTAGGTGGGGGGAGGAGGCAAGAGGCAGCACAGTCTGCAGGGGGAGCATGAGAAGACTAAGAGATTCAGGATAGCCACTCCCTAGAATCTCCCAGGGTATATCCACTAGTTGCTGTAGTATAGATTTAGTCTGGCAAGATTCCATCTATAAGGTGTAAGCAAATAAAGGAACTGTACTCGACTGGACCATTTCATCGTTGTTCTTGGGCTGGGCCTGACAAGAACATTACTGCAATACTGGTACAGTTAAGGATGACTACAGGCTACCTCAGACATAGGTTGGGGTCAGTTGAAGAGAACATCATGAGGACGCCACAGAAAAAAGAGATTGTTGGGAAATGTTTGTGTTGCAATGAGATGAAAGTGAGGAGATCTTTGAGGCTGATTTCAGAGAAAGGGCTTCTTCCTCACTGCTAGTCCATTAATGGGTAATTATGTTGGGAGATCTAAGTAGAGTGTTGGTACTTCTAGGTGACTTAGTGGCTTTTGGTACTTTTAACTATGAGGCCCTATTGGTTTTATGGAGCTGATGGTAGGAGATACTGCTCCTTTCTTTCCAGTGGCTATCAAAAAGAGGTACATAAGAACATATGATTAGGCTTGCTGAATTAGGCCAGGGTCCCTGAATCCAGCATTTTATTTCACACAGTCGCTAATGAGATGTCTCCGGGGTGTTTGCAAGCAGAAGTTGGAGACATATCCTTCTTGTACCATTGTTCCCCTGCAACTGCATTTTAATGTGTGCTGCCCTCCAAGACTCATAGCCCTTAATAGGGTTATGTCTGTCACAAATTTAGCTAATCCCATTTCAAAGCTATTAGTGGCCATCACAACATTTTGTGGCAATGAATTCCAGTTTTATTTATGTGCTGCATAATGAGGGGTTTCCCTGTTTATTCTAAATCTCTTCACTGGATGACCCCTGGTCGTCCTTGTTCACTTTCTCTATACCATGCATAATTTAATAGATCTCAATAATTTCCCTGCCCAGTCATCTTTTTTCTAAGCTAATAAGACCCAAATGTTTGAACCTTTTTTTTGTAAGAAAATGTTCTAGTGCCCTGGTAATTTTTGTTTGCCAACTTCTATATGTTTCTCAGCTCCATTCTACCCTTTTTCAAATGTGGCAACAAGAACTACACATGGTGTTCCAGATGTGCAGTATTGATTTGCATAAGGACATTACAACGTTGTCCTTTGTATTTTCAGTCCCTTTCCTAACTATTCTTAACATGAAATCTGCCTTTTTCACAGCTACTACATACTCAAAATTTTCATTGAGCTAACTCCCATGACTCCTAGATCTTTCTCCTGGTTTCTTACAGACAGCTTAACCTGCATAATGTTTTTATGGCCCAATGAACATTACTGTACACTTACTTAAATTGAACTGATTTGACCATTTGTCCAATTTAAAGAGGTCCCTCTGGAACTCTTCACAATCATTTTGGTTTTTTCCCCCTGAATAGTTTGATATCATCAACAAACTTGGTCAGCAAACTACTTACCACACTGGAAGATTACTTCTCAGCACCACTGAAGTTTTTCTGGGGGATTTTGCAAAGCCTGGCCTTACCTCCCATATTTTTTAATACCTATATGAAATTGTAGGGGAGAATCATTCTCAGATCTGGAGTTATCAATGTGTGCTATTCAACAGTACTTCCTCTTTCCTATGAATCCCAACCTGTTGGTGTTTCTAAGCTGAAAAGAACTGATGTGGGAGATCAAGCTATGAGATAACTTCCCATTATTGGGAACTCTTGCTTTGTTCCATTTTACAATCACAGGACTCTCTCGACTCCCCAAAACCACTCCTTCTGCTTTCTTTTTGAGACAGAAAGAGAGAAAGAGAGAGAGAGAAACCCCAGAGGAAATATTTTGCTGTTCTCAGTCAATGACTGGCTTGCCTCCCCACCCCCAACATGAAGACATGATGGGCTAGCTCTACCAGGTGAAAAGTAATACAGGGGAGCCGCACCAGTGGCACAAGGAAGGGATAATGGGTAGCTACTGTGTAGTAATTAAAGGAAAGGGTTAAAGTTGGGTGATGGTGGTAAAGCCAGCAGTTGTATTGAATAGGCATAGATAAATTGTGGTCCAATCAAAGCATTTACCAAAGCTGGGGAAACAGAATTCCTGTAGAGTGCTGTGTTTCGTTCTCTCTACATGATTCAAAATCATGGTCAACAGTGACTTATAATCATACAGAGAAAACTATTCAGGTTCAGGTCCATGTGTGTGGGTTTTCCAATGAATATGTACATGAAGTCATGATAGTGTATGTGATCATGCTTCCTTCTCCACATATTAATTATAGTTTGAGGAAATACAAGTTGAAGTTCCCTATTGTGAAAATGAGAAAATATTGCTCATTAGCAATGGAGAAGTGGACACCATCTGCCCTTTTGTTCTCCTGCAGAAAATGAAGAAGTGGTGTTTCAGCTATTGTCTTCTACCTCCGTTACTCTGAAAGAGGAACTGTTTTTCAGTCTGACAGGGAGGGGGAAAAAAGCAGGGTGATGAAGAGGAGCGGGTGGTTTGATGACTAACATTTCACAGATGAAAGTTGGGACCATCTATGACTGCCTTCTTAGATGTACTGTAGGTATTTTTCAGATTTCTTGGAATTCAGTTCCCAGAATTCCACAGCCAGCATGGCATTGCTGAGTATTCTAGAAATTAAAGACCAGACATTTGAAGGTATCAAGGTGGGGGCTGCCCAGAGTCCTTTAGGAATGGGGTATTTATAAGCACTGCAAAATAAATAAATATCTAAATGAAAATGGCTTGGCACCTGCAAGACCACTTGTACCAATCTGACTCATAACGCTCAAGGATCTCTTCCTGGGAGAAGCTGCTAGTGGTGTTCCAATTCTGTTAGGTGAAGAGGACTGAGGCCAGAAAAAAACTTCTTCTTCTTCATGGAACCAGTTCTCTGGAACAATCTCCCCCAGAAGCTAGACACTCCAGTTCAGTGATGACCTTCTGGAACTTGGTAAAAACCAAACTGAAGGGGTTGATTGTTCCCCATCAATAATTGCTCTCTTGTGTAATTGTTCACTTTATTATTATATTGCTTATTTTATGGTCTGAACACCAGCAATTTTATACCGTCTTGCTTGATGGAAGAATTCTGGAGAAGTTGAAAGCATGCACATTTCTTTATGATCTTTATGTTAGTATAATAAAGGTATTAACCTAATTTTGGAATTATTCATATTGTTAATGTAAGAAGTCTTTGCTTTTTTCAATAAAACAAAGTTCTGTTGCTTACAGAAACCTCACAAAGATGATCTGCAATAGCCAAAAACTAGACACCCAGATACATTGGAGCTGTAGGAGGAATGAGAGCGATTTCTATTCTTTAAGGAAAGATACGTTCATTTTCAAACCTGATCGGGAATTGGGAATCCAGCGGAATGTTGACCTCTTCAATAACAGTATGTATCTGCATCTTTATGTGAAAGCTTTCTTCATCCAACTTCCTCCAATCAAGTACAGAACATCAGACCCAGTGTTTTGCCACATGTAATTTGAAACAATTTAAGATGGTGACCATGTAATCCTGAACAACTCCTGAAAAGGTAGTTTCAGTGATGACTTTGAAGTCTACCATGATCACCAACTAAAACATCACACTCGAGGGACTTTTTCTTGCCAGCTTAGTTATGGACATTGTTAAGCAGCATGGTGAAAAATTCACAAATAGAGCCCCAATCTTATCTCATATTCCGAGAATTAGGTATTACTTAAAACTGACTGTGCTGAGCAAACTAGTGCCCTACCCAGAAGGTGAACTGTAGGCCATACTCCCCACTCTCTTCTCTCAAGTCAGCCTTGGTGTTGTGCAAGATAGACATTTGTGAGAGGCTTACTATACCTCTTCATCTAACTAGGTTTTAGATGTTTTCCTATAATCAAGTTGGAGACTGACCATTTTTTCCATCAGTTGATCCATGGGATTAGATGCCATTCCAAGCAAGCATTGACAGACTTAGGGTGCCTTTGTTATTTCTCCAGATTGCTACATGGAACATGCAGAAATGTTACCGATGATCTGAGAGTCAAAGATTTTGACTGTTCTATCTAGCTTCTTATCTCATTTTTCTGGCCATGACAGCAACATTTTTATTGCATTAAATATATAGGGCAGCTTTCCCTAAGTCAGTGTTGTCCAAACTTGGCCACTTTAAGATGAGTGGACTTCAACTCCCAGAATTCCCCAGCCAGCATGTTGGACAACACTGCCCTAAGTGATGCCTTCCAGATATATTTAATTGAAGCTCTCATAATTCTCACCCAGCATGATTATTGGCCATACTGACTTAGGGTAATAGGCATTGAAGTCAAACGCACCTGGAGGGCATCAGATTAGGGAAAAGTCTTGATGTGCTGTTATAAATGTATAGAAAACTTGGGTTTTGTGATAGCCTCTTATATTTACAGATAAGAAATTTCTCCTACTAACATTCATTTTTATACAACTATTTAAGGCCAAAATACTGCCCTTCTATACTTCTGGACAGTATTAGTAAATATGTGGCTTTCACATGGGCAAGGATTAATTTATGTTTTTCCCTTATTCCTTCTTTTAGTCCAACCTCTACCACCTGAGAAATTAAATGTCACTGTCACAGAAGAACGTGATTTCCTATTGGAATGGAAAGCAGGTGGAGGAACAAACAGAAATCACATATTGGAAGGCCTCCCCCTGGATTTTCAAATAACCTACAAAAGAACCTGGGAACTCTGGGAGGTACTTAGGCAATTGTTATAATCACACAGTTACAGTGGTTCTGTTTATATTTATATTAGGGAACTAATAGTAAGCAATGAATGTCTTCCAGAGCAAAAGCAACTGTAAGTTCTGAATGGAGTCTGGAAAATGCTCAAAAACAAACCAAAACCCTAATCTTATGACACCTTCAGCCTCCTTCCTTCCTCCCTCCCTTCCATAGCAGCTAATAAGATAGTCCGGAATCCCTAACTTCTTTGAACATTGACCTTTGAAATGTTTGCCAAATAAACAAGTAATCTGGCTGATGAGGCTATGAGTAGTGCTTAGCCCTATGGCAATCTCAGGTGACCTTTCAGTCCATGAGTAGATTAATTAGAAATTGGAGCTGGCTGTTTTTGTGAACATTTATTTTGACTATAGATGGGCAACAACCTGCCGCTTTTAGGTAGTTATTTGGCTCCCCAACCAGTTTTTGTAGTCTCTGCACCTCCCCAACATTGGGCTATCAGAATTCAGTAACATCAGGCTGAACTACACTGCACAACAGTTTATTTTTAAAAAGGAGCAAACAGTAAAATAAGTACAGAAAACCTCCAGTAGGCTCAAATACATGCATTTTATTTTTTAAAATAAAAACACCCCCCACTCCTCCACCCTTGCCAAAAAAAATGAGAGGAGAAAATTCTGGCTGTACTCTCTTTAATGATGTTACTACAAAGCTGCCATATACCCTATGGCTCTCAGACACATCACACACACACACACACACACACACAGACACACACACATTCACACAAAAATATACACAGTTTTTGAAAATTATGAAAGTGTAATAGCTTCCCCCAAGAGTTAGATAGTTTATCTATCAGATTTATATAGCTGCCTATCTCGCAAACACGACTCTGGTAAGTGTACAATGAACAATAATTATGGGAAAAAACACTTTTTTTTCTGCCAATATTATTACAGTTTTCCATAATTTTCCATCAGATCAATAGGACTTTCTGAAATATTCAGTACTTCATATTTAAAATATAGGAAATCATTGCAATAAGTAGAAAAATAAATAAATAATTGTTTTCAATATAATAATTTTATTAAAATTATATTGAACAGATAAAACTAATACAAACTACAAAGATAAAAAAGTAAAAATAAAAAGTGAAAAGTGAAAAAATAGAAAAGAAAAAAGAAAAAAATTAGAAAAGAAAAAGAAGTGACTTCCCCCTTCTGCTCAGCAAGTATATACAACTTCGACTTCAAGTATATATATCATCATCTCTTAAAATACAACAAATGATCTCTTCACCCTATATCTCACCTCATTCTCTATAAACATATCTATAAATCCTTGTCATCCATCCTAATCAGCAAAAGTCCATTAAGGTTTACCAGAAATAATCACAATCTATTATAAACGTAATCGAATAAACCCACTTAATTTCCTTCCTTTACATTTATATCTCCTTTTCTATTCTTAAACAAATCCCCCAAGCCTCATAAATCAAATACAATCAATTAAAAACTCAATAAAGCTTACCAGAAATAATAACATAACTATTTTAAGCTTGATCACATAAATTTAAAATATAAGAAATAATTTCTTTCCCATACAACTTTGTATATCATTAAAACAAAACCTTAAAACATCAACTTCTATAATCAGAAAAAAATAAATAAAAATTGCCAGAAGCAAAACTCTTGTCTATAGAATAAAACCTTAAGCATCATCTTCCAGTCCTAGTCAGAAAAATTCCATTAAAAATTGCCAAAAATAACAACCACCTTTCTATTTTAACCTTGGTCAAATAAACCCACTTCATATTCCTTTCCCTTACTCCCAAATATCTTGATCTTAAGCCCCTTCAAATAATATCCCAACACTTGGTTTCTTTTTATTTTCTTTTTGTCTTTACTCATAAAAACACAAACAATGTTAACAAGTCCCTTTTGTAAATTCAATGGTAAAAATGTTGTACAAGCCACTCTTCTGATCTATTATTTGCAAGCCCTTTTTAATTATTAAAACGTCAGCTGGCTTCAATTGTAGGTTCAGTTCACCTTGTTCCATATCCTTCTTATAGTCTATCATTTTAAAGTCCACATTTAAGTCAATTCCATTCTTGTCCAATGAAACTTGTTCCTCTTCCACAGCATAATTTAGTCTTTCAAGAATGGCAGAAATCTTTAAAAGAATCTTCTGAATTATTTTTTCACACATATCTCTTGATCCATTCGTTATTTCATTTGCTTCTGGTGCTCTGTAGAGTCCAACCTTCAAAGACCCAACTTATCACATTATTTTTTTCCAAAGAATGTAAACATCTACAGTTTCCCACGGGAAGGATTTTATAATTAATTTCAAACTTTTATTTGAAATCCCTCTGGACCCTTAGCCCACTTTTAATTTTCCAAAATCAACACTCTAAATGCCCTTTTGCTACATTCCAAAAAATAATATTTTTCCAAGTCCTTAAAATCATATTTAAAACTTCTTTCCCAAAAGAGAAGGAAACTCACCCAGTGAATACAGTAGAAACTTGCTGTTCTGAAGGGTCTTAATATTTCCAAAGCTATAAAAGGATAATCCAAAAAGTGATTAAGAAATGAGGCTTGGCTTAGCTTTTTGTCCTTAAAAGGCTACATTACGACTGTGAGCTTAGATGGTATCCCTCGACTCCCAGCCACTCAACTCATAAGCCAACCATAAAACCATGGTTTATCTGGTATACTTATGAGGATTGGCTGTCCGGAGTGCACCTGGGTTATCTCACAATCTCTCCTTTCTCTGGAGAGTTTTCACCGGTGTGGATCCAGCATCCAGCTGCGATCTCTGTCGTAAACATCATCCCGCTTCGGCAGGATGTACTGTATAGCTAGCTATGGCGCACACTAGAAGTCCCATGGCGCTCATTGGAAGTCCAGAAAAATAAATAATCTTCAAGTAAGTTTAGAATGTTGCTTTTCCTAGAACAGATAAATGTGTTTATTTATTCTATATTCTCATTCCAATCTCTCACCCTGTATTCTCTAGGAATCTTCCTCTGTATTAGTCTCAAATAGCTCCCGCTACCTTCTCCAACACAATAACCTTGTGCCTGGCAGCAGGTATGTTGCCCGAGTTAGAAGCAAACCAAGTCAAGGCAGTGGATTTGCTGGCCATTATAGTGACTGGAGTCCAGTGGTAACTTGGCAAACACAGGAAGGTAAGCTTAAAAAGAGGACACCTTTGTGTGACTACTGACTGAGAAAAGATGAAAACTGGATATTTGCAAATGTTGTACTATACTTTAAACTCCTGGAAGGGATCCTCATCAGCTGGATAAGATTTAGGCCAACCACTGGGATGTCTTCTCCATTAAGCTTCTATCCATCATATTAATGGGAAAAATCAGAAGTTGTTTTTCCTCCTCCATTGTCCAAATCTTTGTTTTCTCATCTAAAAGACAAACAATAATTTAAAACTCACTCTGGCTTTTAAAATATCCCCTCTATCTCAACAAATACATGCTTCATTTGCTATTCTTCATTAGTGATTGAATCACCCAGCCTGGTGCTCTTCAGATGGGTTGGACTACAGTTCCAAGAATTCCTGCCAGTAGCAGCACAGTTTACTGCACAGCAGTGTAGAGAGTAAGGAAGATGACCTTGATGGAAGAACCATTATCCAGGCAAAAGGGGCTGAAACGTTTTTTTAACGCCAGAGCAATGAGATAGTATTCAGAAGCAGTTCAGGCAGACACCTCTCTAATTCACTGAAGTATAAGAAGGAGGAGGAGGTATAGCACATTCAGACTAGCAAGAGTCTGTTATTATTGCCAATCTCAATAAAAGTAGTCTTAGCCTTCCTGTTGAGTTGAGTTCCTGATCTTGTCTACCTAGTGGGACTGACCCTATCTTTACTGAAATTGACTATCATAACAGAATCTTGCAAGTCCTCTTCTTATAGTCCAGTGAGTCAGGGAATCTCTATTACTTCAAATACAAATATCCAAGGTAAGGTTGCCTATCTCTGAAAAAAGAAGATTAAAATGTGATATATATTTTCATGCCTTTTTTAAAAAAAATCTCAAGCTGAAGTGAAAACAGGGCAAATGAAACCTAAGATTGGGAAAAATGTGAACTTCACATTGACCATTCATAGTATCCAATGCTCCTGTTTGTTGTGTGAATCTATTATCCACCTTTCTTAGGGAGGAGTTATGCGTCCCTATTATCCTATCAGAAGTACGTGGCTACAGAAACAATCTTGTTGCTTGTTCTCAGATAGCATAGTCTGCATAACTTTTTCATAACCCTTTTTCTGAAAAACATAGACATGGATGATATGTCCATAACATTTAAGTAGAGCACACACACACACATACACAAATCCATTTTTTTGTAGGGTGTGTGGGTGTGGGTCTGCATGGTTCACCTACAGCAGTGTTGTCCAAACTTGGCCACTTTAAGATGAGTGGACTTTCACTCCCCCAATATCCCCCCGCCCCCGGCGGGGGAGGTTTTGGTGGGTATGTGCTCTTCCTCTAATTTGAGGTGCATTTGTGATAAGTAATTGAG